ACGTTCCACCCCTACTTGAGGTATTCAACCAAAAATATTTTTGATCAAAAAACAAAAATTAAGTTGAGATATTAATTTTTCAAGAGTTTTTGCCTTTAATTGTTGTTATCGTTATCACAAAATCTATCTTTTTAATATAATCAACATTTTTTTCTTAAGATTCTAGAAAATGAGTAATTGGCCGATTTTGTGATAGCGATAACAAAAATTTTCAAACTTTCTATACTTCATGGCTATATTCTTAATTATAATTTCCATATTTGTTATTCACAAATAAACCCTAATAAAGTTCTTATCCAATCAAAATTGAAAATTTCTTTTTTGTCCTACTTGCTGCTCATATATAAAACGAATAAACCCTAATTACATTGAGTCATAGAGAAGGGGAAGAAGATGGATTCCTTGCCAGATGATCTATGGGCGATTATACTTGCCCGTTTACCTCTAAAAACCATCACAGCTTCAAAATTAGTTTGCAAGCAATGGAAATCAATCGTCGAATCTTCGTTCCTCCGCGAGCTTTTCCTTTCTCACCATCAAAACTCGCATTTTTCTTCATGGTCGCTCATGTGCAAGAGCAAGAACCATCGGATACAAGTGTTGGCTCACTACGGATGCGAGATTTGGGGTCTTCAACGATCTCTTAAGTTTTACATTAAATCTTTCATAACCAAGAAATTCGTGAACCACCCCGAGTTATACAGACAAGCTAGAGTCGTGGCATACACTGATGTTGGTTTGGTCTTGATCCGTGTAGTGTCTCTCTTCAAGAACGTATCCTACTTCGTGGCTAATCCGGTTTCACAGGAATGCGTAGAAACCGATCCTCCATGGTTCCAGCCGATGAATTATTTCTGGCCACTGGGAATTGCTACACGAACTGAGAAAAACGGGGTCCTTTCAGGTTTCAAAGTTGTTCTGCTTTTTGATGCAATGCCATGGAAGCAGAGCTTAAGTTTGCTGGTATATTCATCTGATTCTGGCTTGTGGAGTCCCGAAACTGTTGACTTTCCTTTCGCCTTTGTGGAACAGGATTACCACAATTCCATTAGCTTCAATGGGGATCTTCACTGGCTCGCCCGAAATAGTAACTATGATGAAGCTGTTGTATCCATTGACTTCTACTCTGCTGGACCGGGTTCTGTTTGTGTTACGCCTTTCCCTGATTTAGAAAAAGTCCCGAAATTTACAAGAGCTTGCACAACATGTCAAGGGTTTCTCATGTACATGAACGTAGTCTCTGTAACCAAAGATGATGAGAGTGTAGAAGAGAAGTTTAATATATGGAGGCTAAAGAGCGGAGAATGGCAACTAGTATCTGAAATCGCCGGCTGGTTCAATGATATACCGTTGGCAATAAACCCTTTTGATGCCAAGTCAGTCTACTTTTGGAGCAAGTATGGCCAACGTTTGCTATCCTTTAACTTTCGCAATGGGAAATTTGTATGCACGGATAAGCTCGAATATAGCAGTGAAGGTCGTATATCCAGTTCCGTTAAAGGCCCGAAAGTTGTGAAATACTTCATTGAGCCAAACTTTTCATCGTTTGTTCTGCCACAATGGCTGCATCGGATCCCGAACATGGTGAGAAAAGTATAGCCATAATATTTACAAGAGTGCACTTATCTCTCTCTATTTTTTTTGTTTTTTTTTCCGTATGCAAGAGGAAGAAATTGTAAGGATGGTGCTTGGTTTATTTGTTGAGTCTTTCTGGTTGGTCTAGATAAGAAGATAAGAGAGAAAAAGAAAAAAGGAAAATGGTTACGGTGTTTCATAGGTTTGATTTCTTGATGATCGTAGAAGATATATTATTATATTAGACGATTAAGAAACACAAGAAAATACAGAAACAGAGAAATAACAGAGTAGAGTAGAAGTCTTTTACATGCAGCAAAGACCGGGATTTAAATGCCACCCTCATCAGTAGAGAATATGTCGCATAAAATTAAAACATAGCTGGAAAAGGCTAAGGCTGATCTTGACGAGATACTCTACAACTGATGTGTCCTCAACCCAACCTCGAAGAAAACGTGAATACTATAAGCCCACAAGGGCCACTCTATATGTGGTTTTCATAGGCTCCTGCCTCGATATGTCCACCTCGCGATTCTGCCTCTTGATTTCACCATTATCTCCAGGGGAACAAGATGTCAACATCTAGTCCGTTTTATCATTAGTGTGAAGCACATTGCAAATGATTTGGAGCCCACAAAGTCAAGAGGGACCGGATAACTTATCTATCAAAATCGAACTTGTCTCCGTCCTGCTAAATATAGAACTAGCAACCAATCTATGGACATAATGAAATACTGGGTGGGTTACCCGCCACCTTAGACTTGCCACCCCGTATGTCTCATTTCCAAACCTTTTCCATGCCATGCATGAGCTACATATATCAATGAACAATATAGAGAATATAAACCTACTAAACGATAGCGGTTTGAATAGATATGAGGGTGTTACTTCTTTGATTCGGATCAATCTTGTATGTAATCTTTGAAATCTCAAAAAAAAAAAAATTTTGAAAAAGAAAACATATTTTTTATTATGACTACAAGAGTCGACCTCGTGAACTCTAGCACTAACTCCTCATGTAAAAAAAAGTTGTTTTGAATTTTCTATTAATACAGACGTTACAATTTTATGTTTGCTTCCAAAGCAAATGGGTCGCTTTGGTTCTATCGGGCCGGGTCAAGCTTCCTTCCGAGGACAAAATGATGAAAGACGTTAGAACTCTCTTTGTGAAGCTTAACTCTTT